TTGCTTTGCTTCACAAGCCTTCTCTCTCACTCCACCCCTCACCCCTCTCTCTCTCTCTCTCTCTCTCTCTCTCTCTCTCTCTCTCTCTCTCCCCCATCTGCAACTGCAACAACATTGGCTGTACCTCTCTCACTGTCGAAGTCTGAAAGCTTAAATCTCCGAATCAGAGAGAACCCATTTCCATTTTACATCCATCCCCGAAACTATACCACATCAACTCGAAACCATGAGTTTTGCCGGACCCAGAATTTCCAAACCGGCTAAGCCCCCAAACCCATCACCCACAACGCCGCCGCAGCCGCAGCAACCACCAAACTCCTCTTCAAAGTCCTCTGCTTCTTCCGCTTCTTCTTCCCTCTCGACCCACCTGGCCATGGTGGAGCTCAAGCAGAGAATCCTCACCTCCCTCTCCAAACTCTCCGACCGAGACACGTACCAAATTGCCGTTGAAGATCTCGAGAAAATCATCCAAACCCTCCCGCCGGAGGGCCTCCCTATGCTCCTCAACTGCCTCTACGACGCCTCCGCCGATCCGAAACCCGCCGTCAAGAAAGAGTCTTTGCGCCTGCTCGCATTGGTCTCTGCTTCCCACCCCGATTTCACCTCCACCCATTTGACCAAAATCATTGCCCACATCGTCAAGAGGCTCAAGGATGCCGATTCCGGCGTCCGGGACGCGTGCCGCGACGCCATTGGCGCGCTGTCGGCGCAGTACTTGAAGGCAGAGAGTGTGAGCGACAATGGGTCGGTTGTGGGTTTGTTTACGAAGCCTTTGTTTGAGGCTATGGCCGAGCAGAACAAAGGGGTGCAATCTGGTGCGGCACTGTGTATGGCTAAGATTGTAGACTGCGCTTTAGACCCGCCTGTTTCGTCTTTTCAAAGGCTGTTTCCAAGGATCTGCAAGTTGCTTAACAATCCTAACTTCTTGGCTAAGGCATCGCTCTTGCCGGTTGTTTCGAGCCTGTCTCAGGTTTGCTCAGTAGAATATCTACATTTGCTTTTTCGCACTCAAATGATTTTGTGGGCATGTACATTGTGGTCTCGACTCGATATAGTCATGTACATTGTTGTAGATTTTGTAGTAAAGTCGATACTTATGTGGTTGTTTGATTGCTAAAAAGATGTAGGACACAGAAGATAGAAAAGAGTGGTAATTTGGTTTGGAGTGTTGACTTGAAATGTCTTGTGTTTGGTGTAGTGTGAACTTATACATAGTCTTATTGCCAATAGAATGCAGGTGGATAGAACGATCACTTCGATCTATACTTTGGATGATTTAATTGGACTTTTACTGATCGAAGAGGTACCTACTTGTTGTAGGTTGGAGCGATTGCGCCCCAAAGCTTGGATAATCTACTGCAAAGTATTCATGAATGCCTTGGGAGCACAGATTGGGCAACACGTAAAGCAGCAGCTGATGTGCTGGTTGCATTAGCATTGCATTCGAGCAACTTGATTACAGATAGAACCGCTTCCACCCTGACTGTCCTCGAGTCTTGCCGTTTTGACAAGGTAGTCTTTTGTTGCATATTCCTGAAGTGTGTTACTTTTCATCTTACAGCAAAACAGTTTTGGCGAGTACTTAAGTATAACATTTTCTTGTTTGATCGTTCAATTTACATTTTTTCAATAACTCGTGGCTTTGTATTCATATCCGGCACACCATTACACATTGGCAATTTAACACGGAACAGTATGTTAATGGATTATTTTTGCACAAGAAAATTCTTTTCAGTATAATGTTATTTATTACATGGAACTTCTAGTTTAGGAATTTTTTTGGTGTTTACTGCAAGAGATGGGGGTAGGTGAAAAATCAAGTAAAATGTTGGACTACTTTGCTATAGTATTTCCTCACTTGGATACTGAATATGTGTTTCACACATCGGATAGGCACCTAATATAATTTCTCAAATTTTCACTTTACTGGCTAGGAAAAAGCAGTCTGCTTGAAATATTGAATTTTGGATTTGGCCAACGTTCGTACATGAAATATGTAATGAGATAGAAGGGTGGCTATGTATTTCTGTTGGACTAGTCTCTAAAATATTGTCCGTTTTGGTTTACAGATTAAACCTGTCAGAGATAGCATGACAGAGGCATTGCAGTTCTGGAAAAAGATAGCTGGGAAAGGAGAAGATGAAGCTCCAAATGACAAGAAAGTCTCGTCTCATGGTAAGCTTATCAATAATACGACCTTTATTAAAATGCTTCAATTCCTTTTGGCTCTCACCGGATCATTCTGTTGTTGTCGCATTTTAATAAAGAAAATTCTGAATCAGCTGAGTTGTCAGAGAAGAATGAGCCAAAAAATTCAAAGCCTAGTGAGAAAACAGATCAAGGAGCAAAGGGTTCATCTAATGGTTCATCTCCTACTTCAGATTCTGTTTCTAAATCCAAAGCCAGTGGAGATAAAGCGGGTGTAGCTTTGAAGAAGAAACTGCCCATCTTAACTGACAAAGAGCTAAACCCAGAATTCTTCCAGAAACTTGAAAAGAGGGTTTCTGATGATTTGCCCGTTGAGGTAGTTGTTCCTCGTAGACATGTCAATTCTTCAAACTCAAATAATGAGGTAGAACCAGAGGCAAATGATACAAATTCCAAAGAAACTCAAAACCGGATTGCAAACAGCCAATTTAATGATATTCATGGATCTTTCAGTAGTAAATACCGTAACACAGAGAGAGGAATAGCTGGTCTGTATACTAAACAACGAGATCATGATGACCTTGCGAGGGATAAATGGCCAGAAGAAAGGGCGAATGGAAAAGACTCCAGAACGAGAGCAGTTGATATTGATGACAGGATTGATATAAATCAAAGGGAGTCGTCCAGTAGTCGTGCAGGTTTCTCTAAACCCGATGGTCAACCTGAAGGATCCTTTGTCAATAACAAAGGAAATTGGTTGGCTATCCAAAGGCAATTGTTGCAGCTGGAGAGACAACAAGGTCATCTTATGAGCATGTTGCAGGATTTCATGGGCGGGTCTCATGACAGCATGATAACTTTGGAGAACAGAGTAAGGGGTCTTGAGAGAGTTGTTGAAGACTTGGCACGAGATTTATCAATATCATCAGGTAGAAGAGGCGGTAATTTTTCGATGGGGTATGAGGGGTCTTCTAATAGGCCTTTAGGCAAGTATAACGGCTTTCCTGATTACACTGGTAACAAGTTTGGAAGAGGTGGAGATGGACGAATTCCATATGGCGAACGATTTGCCCAAAATGATGGACATGTTTCCGGCATGAGGGGACGGGGCCCTACTTGGAAATCTGACATGTCTGAGGTGTGGGATTTTCCAACATATGGTGGTTCCAGAGGTGGACATATTGGTTCGAGGAAGGCTGTAGGAGGTGGTCCTGGGGATGGTAGGTCGCCCAAATCAGAGAATGGGAGTGATCAAGGTAACAGCAGGCGAGCATGGGATAAAGGGGCTGGACCTGTTAGGTTTGGTGAGGGGCCTTCCGCAAGAAGTGTTTGGCAAGCTTCCAAAGATGAAGCTACCTTGGAAGCAATTCGTGTGGCTGGAGAGGACAATGGAACATCTAGATCTGGAAGAGTAGCTATACCTGAATTGACTGCAGAGGCTATGGAAGATGATAATGTGGGCCAGGAGCGGAATCCAATCTGGAATTCTTGGACTAATGCAATGGATGCTCTTCAAGTGGGTGATCTGGATACGGCCTTTTTGGAAGTGTTGTCTACAGGAGATGATATCTTGCTTGTAAAGTTGATGGACAGATCAGGTCCTGTGATTGACCAACTTTCAAATGAGACAGCAACCGAGGTCTTGCATGCTGTTGGGCAATTCTTACCAGAGCCAAACTTGTTTGACATCTGTTTGGCTTGGATTCAGCAGGTATTTTCCTTCGTAACGGATGTGTGAGTTCACTATTTTTAAGGATGTGTTTCATTAGTTTCCTTCTTAATGGTTAGACTTCATATTAAGTGTTTCATGTCCGTAATAAGTTTTTTGGTTGAGTCTATTTGCTCTGATAATTTCCAAATACTAATGGGAAGCATACGCGTTCTCTGCGTTTCTCTGCTTCATAGAATTCGATAGTATTGAAAATGTCCCCGTCTTTTCAATTTTATTGCTTTTGCTGTCTGGTCATGGAGATGCCTCAGTTTGACCATTTGGTCCCCTTTTTTCCGTTTCGCAGTTGGTTGAAATAGTGCTCGAAAATGGATCTGATGTTTTCGGTCTTCCCACTGACGTAAAGAAAGAACTCGTTTTGAATCTGCATGAAGCTTCTGTAACACTGAATCTGCCCGAGGACTGGGAAGGTGCAACACCGGATCAACTTTTGGTGCAGTTGGCATCATCCTGGGGAATCAATCCTCAGCAGCATGACAAATAGTTTCTAGTTGTATGTATTGCCAACTTGTATTGAATTCGAGCTTGCGTTTTGAGTGGAGTGAATGATTTTGAAGTCCTACAGTTCGCATGAGTTGAATATAATTGCCATTTGACAGATAAGTTTCCAGCATCTGCGTCTGCGCAGCTTAAGGTAGAAATTGTAGCCGATTGGTTTCTTATTCAAGTTGGAAATACACAAACTCCGTGATACCCGAGATCATAACCTAAGATAAGGTATGCTACTGTCAGTTGTCAACAAAGTTTGGGTGATTTTTAACCGTTAATGCATGTGGGGCTCACAAAACAATGGTCATATTTCATTAACGCAGTAAGCAACTAGGAAAATCCTTGCAACGGTAACAAAGTCCAGAGATTCTTACAGTGCCCCAACTCCCAAAGTTCCCTCTGGTGGCCATTTCCACAAGAAATTCTTGTGTCCCACTGGGAGGACCACATTACGCATACACAACCACGGAAACCCCTTGTGTTGGGGTTCAAGAAAAATCAGTCCCATGGTGGATCCAATTCAAGGAGGTCCCGTTTGGTCATGCATAGGGGTTTGGTCATGCGTAGGGGTACAGGTGACGTGATCCATCCAGAAAAGGAAAATTATTATACCAAATGATAAAAAGGGAGAGGCTGTAGAAGACAGGGGATAATAAGTATTGCATCTTCATGCTCTTGTTCAAAATATACATTTTCAGTTTCACCAAAGAAAGTACGAAGGCATTAGAAGAGTGTTAAATTCAACAGGTAGTAGACTATTTCTATATATACAAGGCCTGCTCTTCCATGAGCCTTCTTCCCCAAAGGTCTAAACCTGACAGTGCACATCAAAGCAGCAGACCGAACCCTCTTCTAGTAATCCTTGGCCGAAATGTGACACATCAACTCTTTGATGACCGGAAAATTTCACATCAACAGACTAAAACAACCGATTCCTCGGGCAAAAAAAAACCTCTTATGAGTGAAAGCACTTAAAGCAAACACTGCAAATAGCTGGCCCTCTGGATGCATAACACACCGACTGTCGAGGGTCTCAAACCAAAAGCCCAATTTTGTGATTAGCCACCGCATCTACTTGCCGGCATACCAGTTTTGTGCACACTTGGCATCAACGGCAAGGTCGACTTTAAGATTATTCTTTCCGTTGAAGGGAAACGACATGCACTCAACAACTAATTTCTTTGCTTCCTCAGCAGACTCTGATGGCCCTTCCAGGATCACTTCATCGTGAACCTGCTTTCCAGATAAAGGTTATTTCCACAATTCTTGTCAAAGCTACAATTTGTTTTGTTTAACCCTTTGATTAAATATTCAACAGTCAACCGGGACACACGCAAACTCATTCAAATTCTCACAGTAATTTAAGGATTGTATAAATGTTGCGCTAGTAAAAGAAACTTGAAACTATTCAATGAGAGTCCAAGATTAAGAATGAAGATTTGTAACAGAAGAAATTAAGCGAGGAAAACATGATTTAGAAGGATGCTTTCAGAATAAAGCTGGAAAAGAAATGGCAACATGTTCTGCTGTCTGATTAACTTAAGAAATTATGCATTTATTTCCACACTATACTGCTTATAACACCCTCCCTCCTTGCAAATTTCTTAAATTTTTCCATTACTCTCGCATCTAAATTTAAATTATAGAAACTTTTTAAAACCTGGAAAAACAATTTAATGGGCCGGCATGACCAACCTCTCAACAAGGGAAGACAAGGAAAAACCGGGAAAGGGGTGAAGGAGAAAGCAGGGGAGAAGGAAGCCAATAAAATTCTTTTATTCCATAAAGAAAAGGGTAAATAAGAGTAAAATGGATAATATTTAGAGGGATACACGGTGCAAATAAAACTACCCATCAAAACATAATATCTAAATCTTTTAAAACAACCAAATTACATACATTCAAGGACAAGGAACTGCGCTCACATGGTCAACTAAGATGAAAATTGTTTTTGCACACATTTCTAGACATTATAAAAATTTACTGAGAAATCAACAAAGACAGAGCCAGATAATGTGGCTTGAAAGGGCACAAGAAGATAGTACTTCCACTTAATTTCAACGAAGGACATAATGCGAGATCAACGTAGGACATTATGGGAGAGAAAAGTAAGCAAACACAGAATCTAAAAATACAAATCTAGTTTAATATTTTTGCTCATGCGTTGACAGTCTTAAATCTAGTTTAATATCTAGGGGAATCAGGAGTTCACCTGTAAAAGCAGCCTCCACCCAAGTTCATTCAAACGTGCATTCTTGGATATTTCTAACATAGCACACATGGCAACATCAGCAGCACTGCCCTGTTACAGTCACACAACCAAAATCTCACATGACTACAGAGGGAGGAGAGGAAGGAAGAGGGGAAGCGAGGGAACAAGAGGTGAGTGGTGGGGAGAAAAGACAGGAAATGCTCTGGAAGAACCTGCACTGGTGTATTGATAGCAGCCCTTTCAATATGACCTCTTAGAGCACGTTTATCACGAGATACTGCTGGGAACTGGCGAGCCCGTCCAAGTAATGTGTGAACACATCTATTTTCTATAGCTTCTTTTTTACGTTCTTCTTGCCAAATAAGCACTTCTTGTCTTTCTTTGTACCACAGTTTAACTGTGTTTTCTGCTTCCTGAACCGATACCTGGAACCACCATACCATAGCAGATCATTCAAATTGATAAAGAAACAATATAAATATCTTATTACGCTTCAAGCTTAGGGCATGTTTACTTGCAAGGAATGGAAATGGAATGAACGGATTCATTCCCATACCTATACGAAGCAAGTAAACATGCCATTAGTGTTGCAAGATTACCTTCCAATCCCGGGAAAGCCCAACTGGAGTTTTCCCATATGCAATGGAAAAGTTAAGCATTTTAGCTTTCCTTCTTTCAGAAGCAAAGTTATCCTGAATATGGAATATTATTGTACCAGAAGATAGTGGTCAGAGTAAAATCTATAACAGTAACCGCATGCAACAAACCACATTAGACTGGCAAAAAAACCAACCCCAAATATCAAAATGTTACATGCTAATAGATGGTATCTGTATTAAATTACAAAATCAATGTATCAGCTGTCCAAATTGGAAAATATGCAGCATGAAATTAGGCAAGATAAATTTCTATAAAATAACGAATCAATTTTAAAGGGTGCCCACTGCATGAGGCTCTCACCAAGGGGGTCTGAGCACAAAATTTAACAAAAAAGACTAGAAAACTCAAATATATAAGCTTCGTAGTTGCTAATGAAAAAAGAACAGAAACAAATGTGTTGTATTTTCATACAATGTCTACCCCAAGCCCCATCATTGTAGGAAGCAGTATTTAATTCATTCTAAAACAAAGTTTCATCTTTTAGTTTGTCCAGGTCCGTTCATGGCACAGCAGTTTCATTTTAGGAGAAGAAAACCCTTCCCGATTAAGACTAAGGCAAGGGCAATAATACTACTGAATTGTGCCTTTTACTTGCTTCATTGTTTTCCAATGGTATAACACTCTCAACCTCACCCCAAGCCCTCACCATTTAAACAAGTTTATATCCTTTTGAGACTTTCACTGTCTCAAACAAAACATTGCCAACTTCATGAAATAAAGAGGGAGCAACAGAAAGAATTATACAGCATTTTCTTCTCCAAGGTTAAATTATAATGATCAATGCTCATATTTTTTGCTTCTTTTGGCAAAGAAATCTTTCTTTTTGCTTCCTAAGGCGAAGAAATTTTCTTCTCACAAAACTCATTTTCCAACTATCATCTCAAATAAATCCTCACTACTACACTAGAAAAAAAGATTATACTGTTTTACCTTCAATAATGGAACTGGGGGTTTCTCTTCACCAGGTTGAGGATCCCACTCAAGTAGCACTTCTTCACTCTCAACGGCATCACGAATATGCTGGTACATGTTCATTGCAGTCCTTGAATGAAAATCTCCACCAGCTTTGAAGGCATCCAACATACTTGTACAGTTGGACAGATGAGCAAGAATCCTGAGTTCGAGCTGTCATACGAACACATCAATTAAATATTTAAAATCATGAAATAAGTAAGCAGATAATACAGACAACACACCTGTCCATAATCAGCAACAATAAGAGAATTCCCGGGTGCAGCTACAAAAGCCTGGCGGATCTTATACCGGTCTTTCTCCAAAGCAGGTTGGTTCTGAGTCAGGAGAACCAAAAAAAAAAAAAGGATGAACATGCATACCTCCCAAGTTTCCACTACAGTTGGAGACACTGGTTACAAGCAAGATATTTAAGTGAAAATCATTGATGTGTTATTAAGTGATCAGGAAACCAAGGGAAGCTGGCCATCCAGATTTCATCCTTATTGAATGGTGGATGTCTTGGATAAAGCATTGATGTCTTCATTTAAATAGATCACAATAAAAAGTTGACAGAACTAATAATACCTGTAAATTAGGCCTCCTCGCGGACAGACGCCCCGTTTCTGTGTTGATATTTAGAGAACAATGAATTCGCTTATTCTTGCCTGATATATTACTGCTCTGTAGTAGAAATAAACCAATATCATTGTAAACATCCACATAAATTTTCAGTTCAAAAACTCAAGAATGAGGAGTTAGCTTGCCAATAGTGGAGGTTTAATAAGCATAAAAAGTATGAAATAATGGCCGAAATGACCTGCAAAGGAAGGATGAAGTTGGATATCAAGGAATCAATAGAGCAAACTTGGCATAAAGCAGCAATGGCGTGGCAAGCTTCCTTCCCTTTCCCCTTCTCCTCTTTCTCAAATGCTTTAAAAGCTGTTCCATAAGCAGATGTGTCAACCTCAGACCTATCCTCTTGTGTTCCCAAATATTCAGCATCCACTGTCTCACAAGCATCTCCAACACCTTCCTGGTCGTCATCCACAAAATGAAATTCTGAAGAGACCTTCCCAGATAAAATTTTCAAAGCATCTCCACCAACTGAGGGCCAACCACTTGCTGTGTAAATCTCAGCTGGAAGATTGGAAACAATATTATGCAGAGTAATATTGCGAAATTTTGAGGCTGTATTCTTCCCTTCTTCAATCACTCCATCAATGTTTGGAACTCTGAAAGTCTTCTCCGTTGGAAGAAACTGGTTGGAGTCCTTTCTGTAACAGGAAACAATCAGGTCAAATTTGTACAGCTTTCTTGTCTCCATCAGGCTAGGGGGAATAGAAGTAAGATTCTTTTTTGCTATTATCCCTGCATTTGAATAGTGTAAAAATTAAAGATTCTATTCAAATGGGGGATAATTCAGGTTCCAAAAGAAGTCTCTAGAGTGAGTGATTGAATTTTCTTTTGGTTACAATACAAATAGTTCCAATGGATAGCTTTGTTTTTACTAGGAGACCTCATTGTATTAGTATTCCTCATCGGGACAGTTGAGGTTCATTTTCAATCATACAAAACCACTTACCTAAAATCTTTCCTTTCTAGCCTAAGTTTTAAATTTTAACTTGATGATTAAATAAAGGAGACTGAGAGTATTTTCTTCTCACATGAATCAAAGTCTAATAAAATTTTGTAACTATTTCTGCTTCCTGTACATGTAGTCATGCTAAGCATATGCTGCCCTTAACTATTAAGACCAGCAAAGCATAGTGGTGAACGGTTCTGACATAAGATTGTAAACTTTTAACCCTTGATACTTCCTTTTATCCAGAAGAATAGAAAAGCAAAAGGACACAACTTATGAGAACTAAGCATATCTACAACCATATCATAGGATAAAAGAAAGTATTCAGCTCAGAAAGCTTCTGTAACAGGTAAAACTTTCAAAAGCCCAGACAAATAGCAATGGATGATAAACTCACCATGTCAACATCACTGTAGCACTAGAATTACTAAAGCGAATACGATGTTGAAATCAAAAAGTCAAGTAGATATTACAGTTTCTGTATTTAGAAGCAAGTAAACATAGTTTGTTGACTTCCATTCCACAGTCACCAACTAAAGCTGATATAACCAAAACATCAAAATAGCATGCATTTAGTATCTTGCACCCTGTAATTTGGAGTCTACCAAAATAATTACCTACAGCAAGATAATTATAACTAAACAGAATAAATTTATTAATTGAAATGTGTACCTATTTGCGATCCCACCAAAGAGGAGCTGGCGTAGTTGCACATCACTTCCCACATTCATGTAGTTGGCATCAGGGCAGTACCTAGACGCCCACCTACGAAATCTGTTTGCAGCAATCTCTTGTTCTGCTTTGGCCAACTTCTCAATCTCAGCTAAATAATCCCGATTAACCAACATTCCCTCAGTTTCCATCTTAACTAAAAGCTCACCAAATGGTCTCCAATATTTTTCATAGAAATTAAACATGGTTCCAGGTTCTGGTTTTCCATCAATTTTCCACTCCTTTTTGCTTAGTTGGTTTTTCATACTCTCATAAAGCTTCAGTGTGCTTATTGAATCTAAGGCAGAATAACAAATCCATGGTTTTCTCTTTTCTCTTTGTAGCACTTCAACAGGGTCAATAATGGTCACTTTCCCGTCACTTCCATCTTTCTTCACTTTCTTCCTGCCAAATATTGTTTTCATAGATATTTTACCAATCAAATCCTTCTCATCACTCAGTTGGGCCCCAGACATGACCTTTGGGTCATGTGAAAGTGCTTCAAGAGAATAACCACCTTTTAACCGCCTTGATGAATCCCACAAGCGAGCCATGTGCATCGTGTCGGCATGGAAACCAGAAAGCTTAATCCCATAGTTCTCTATTACATGGTTATCAAAGCTATAATTGTGCCAAACCTACAAAAGATGGGGGACTGTCATTGTTGAGTTTATTTCTCAAAATGCATATTCCATGTATGGTGAAACACCAGCCAAGTAATTTTCCAGGCTAAAAGAGAAAAGCACATACCAATTAAAACAGCCAACAGTAGTCAATAAGAAAAAAGGATATAAAACCAGTCTTATTAAGAGGAAAATAAAACAGAGTATTAAGAAAATAGAGGTGAGTAGTATTTATATATATGATTATTGGGAAAAATTTTGACACAAGGCATTGATCCTTTATCAGTCAGAAACAGAAGCAGTTCTGAAAAACAAAAAGTTCATTTAGCCTGAAGTCACTAGGGTATTGAAACATGTCCTGTGGATGAGTTTGGAACAAACTGATAGTTCTATCAATTGAAAACAGCAATGATCAAAATGCATAAAGAAAATGCTCGCAAAAATAGAAAATCATTTACCAACAATAGCATTGTGCAAAGCAACAGGTAATGGTAAACATCTGATTAATGTGACTAAGTTTTTCAGAAATAAAAAGGTGGGCCTTTTAAAAAAAGCTACTCCCACCCTCAATCACAGGCTCACAGCCCAGTTGTCTGTAAACATATACAGTAAAATTTTGAGTTCCAAGCTCCAGACCCTCAATATGAATCAAATCTGTCAAAATCCTTGTGGTTTCATTGTCGAAAAACAAAATACAGTAGTCATTTCCCGAAAGTGCCACTATCTAACGATGATTAAGTTGTTTGCAAGATGCTGTGAGTCAAGACTATCTTAAAGGAAAGAAAAAGCAACCTTTTTGATGGAGGGGTCTTCGAAAAAAGGAGCAAACTCCATTAAAAGTTCCTTGCCACCACCATCAAGAACATCCACCCAAATACAAGACTTCCCATTTCCAAAATCCACATCTGGTCCAGAATAGATGCTAAAACATATTATTTCTCCATGATCAACAGGTGTTTCTAGCTTCACCTCTATATTCGCCACCTGTAAAAATTCTACCATTAGCAATTGGACAGTAGCTTGTAAATAAGAAATCTTAAACACCCAATACCCAATCACGCATTTATTTTAAAAGAAAGGGCAAGTGAAAAATTACATGCAGACAGAACTTGTATCAATCAAAGCTAAGATAAACTTGAAGCATATATACCTCTGTGTCACAGGCATGGACAAGATGCCTGTATTGATCTGTAAGCATCCTAACAACTTTTTTCGCATCAGGGACACTGTTGACAACAAGAACCTTGTCATATGGTACTAAGCTTCTCAAGAAGATCTCCCTCATTTATTGCTGTAGCAGCTTTAGTTTCAGAAGGTTTTTTAGCTGACTTGTCCCTTTGAATCACATGAGCAGCATCTGCATGACCATTCACCTTCTTCACTTTAATATTGTCAATCCCTCCAGAAGCTGACACATTCTGACGGTCCTGTCCATAACCATTCACCTTGTCCACTTTATCTTATCAACTCCTCCATAAGCGGACACATTCTGATGGTCCCGTCCATGACCATTCACCTTGTTCACCTTAATCTTGTCAATCGCTCCATAAGCCGACACATTCTGACTGCCCCGTCTGTAACCATTCACCTTGTCCACTTTAATCTTGTCAATCCCTCCATAACCACTCACCTTGTCAACATTATTTCCTTCACCATGTGCTTTACCCGATTGTACCTCAGGAGAAGCCTCAGCCTCATGTATGTTTGCAAAACTTTCACTGATTTGATCATCAATTGCCGATGTTTTGTAAAATGAGGCTTCAGACTTTACATCCAACTTATCATCCAAATGTAGGGAACCCTCATTCCTTTCTGGCGTATATGTTTCAATATTTACTCTACAGGATATGTTACTTCCATAAGGATTTTCCTTCACCTTTTCCTTTCTCAATGCCCAAGCCTCGTGTTTCCAGGCTTTTCTATTATCGTTGGATTTTCTTTCGGGATTATAGTGAACTGGGTTGAAAGGGATTGTCGGATTACCTGAAATCCCAACATCAGCCTGGGCCGCATAAGCCTGTGGTCTGCAATGTTATCAATTCCAACATCACAGGCAGCAAAAGAATAATCAGACAGTATATCAATTTCTTCCTGCATTCCAAGTATACAAAGGAAGCACAAAACATATAGGAAAACTTGAAAAGCAACCGGGCATTCCAATGAGTTGTGGAATTGAACTATACTTTTACATTAACAACTAACATCAAAATCCCAAAGACAACACCGACCCATAAACAATCAGCATTTGAGTTTCCCCACTTCCTACTCAAATTCCTCCTCCAATTCACAATAAATGCAAGTAATACTACATGGTTCCCAACAATTTAGTTCAGAAACAGTAAAATTAAAATGAAATAAATAAAATTCTCCCATAGTTCCACCAAGTAATTGAAGTTTAACTACAAACCAAACATTCATATAACTTCACAACCATTTGTTCAATCCAAAACCATAAACAAAGAACCCAAAGCCTTTTCTAACATTAATATGGAAAATAACAAAAAATATATACTTAAAAAAAACCCAAAAAAAATTAAAAAAAAATCACATGCGTATGGGGGAATATTCAAAAAACCCAAATAGAAAATGCTAGAACAGAAAGTAGTGAAATTTGAGTGAAGATTGAATTTCACCTGGGACTAGTCCACAGGGACCTGGACGACCGGGGACAGGAGCGGAATAAGGAGAAATAAGAAGGGCAAGATGGTCTTAAATGGCTGGTCTGGATGGAGGAGAACCCCAAAGCCATGAAGTTGGAAAGAGCAACTTTCCCCAGCTTACTGCTCCAACTGTGGCTTATAGAAGCGGCCGTCTTGCTAAGCTTTGCGTGGCAAACCTGTAAATTAGGTGGGGTTTGTTGGGGAGTTATTTGAGGTCTGGGACTAGTGGGTCTGAGTTCGAAGCAGAAGAGCAGAGCATGCCCATGAGGAGGGGGGGGGGGGGGGGAGAGAGAGAGAGAGAGAGATTGAAGGAGGTGAAGACTGCAGAGGCTCTCTAAACCCTGGGGTTTTCTGCCTCGGAAAATTTAGGAAGAAAGCCAAATATTTAGAATAATATTATATACGGCTGGCAAATAATTGTCTCTGCAATTTCTTAATATTAAAATTTGAAAAGAATACACTGAATTTACGATTTTAGGCCTAAGAGGTTTGGAGTTTTTCAGATGTGCCACTTTTGTAGTCCTCTAATTCTAAACATGTGATTTATTGGATTTTCTTCTTTTCCTTAGACACACGGTTAGGCCAACTAATGTCAGTGTGTTCGCCTCTTGCACCCGAATTAGATGTTAACATATGGTATAGTTCTTGACAAGTCTATTAGGACACGGTTGAAATTTTAAAAATTTTAATTTACTTATTTCGGGTTTAGGTTTGTTGAGGTTTGAACTTTTGTCCCTTTTAAAATGATTCAAAATTAATTGAGTTCGATGAGATGTATCTTGTGTTTCCTTATTTTTATTTGTTATTTTCATTAATTTTTTTAATTTCATGTCCAGAAAAAAAAAACATAGGAGGTGAAAAAAGATTTCTGAGTCCACTAACACTAGAGTTAAAAAGGTGAACATCGTAATTTTACGAATTATATAAATAATCATTAACAAATTTCTTTTATTTTTCTTGACAACTGATGAAGAGTAAAAGAGGATAGAACTGTAATTTTGAAGTGACTGCGATGATTAGGGATTAACGTTCTCTCCTAATTTCATATATAAATTAATTTAATTATAATGACGAGTACTCGGGCCAACTTATATTCTAAAATATTAAAAGTACTTTGTGGCCACCAAAGCTAATTGCTGTACCTTGTCACTGATGATGAAACTTGGCCAATAATCGAATCATGAATAATTGCTAATTTGTTTGGTTAGACTATGTTTAACGAACACAAACAAACTCTACTATCCGAAAGTCGTATTTTCAAGAGATGATGTGAAACAATTAAAATTCTATTTTGACGAGCTAAATTCAAAAAATTCATCACAACAGATGTTATAAAATAATCAATATTGAAAATAAATAGTCACTCTTTAAATTTAGAGAGCAATTATTCACTTCCTAAATATTAAAAAATAATCAAACTTAAGAGTGGACCCTTGATCAAGGAGAATAGGAAGAGAGAGAATGTTGTTTTAGAAGGAAATTGATCATTTTCGGATCCCTTCCACCTAATCCTCCTCATCAAACAATCTGAATCCTTGAAAATTGATCTAACGGCTAAAAACCTTAAAAGTTATAATAACTTTAGTCATTTAATCAAATTTCAAGGCTCAGATTGTTTGATGAGGAGGATTAGGTGGAAGGGATTCGGAAATGATCCCTTTCCGTTTTAAAAAATGAGTGGGTTGGGTTTAAAGTGTTAATAAAAAATTATTCAAAATTTGTTAAAATATAAAGTGTTGCTAGAGATAAAAAGTTAAACTGAGTAGCAAAAAATTCATCTTTTTTTTTTTTGGTCCTCCTACGCCAAGGGAATAGGCCTAATCTCGTAAGAGGCGAGCTCCATTGGTTGCTGAGAGCCTAGCGTTTGATTGGATGGAGGCAAATATATAGAAAGTCTTCAGTGAGGGTGGTTGCAAACTTGTAAATCAGTAGGTTCAAGGAGTACTAAAAAAAAGTGTTAAGGGCAGTGAGACATTTACGGATAATGAGAAGCTTAAAAAATGAAGGCTCTATTACAATAAAATGAACAGTCATTATTTACATTTAAATAACAACTATTTACTTGCTAAATATTAAAAAAATAATAATAAGCATTATGTTTTCATTACTGGTGACTTGGGGATTCATTATTGGTCACTTTATAAAGTTTGACCATTTTCAATTGTTGGGTTAAAATCTAAAATTAGGTTTTAAATCCATCTAAATTGTCTCCAACCATTGGTCCTAAAACAAGTTTTAAGATAACTTAAAATTTGGGGAGATTTAGCCCAAAAAAAGGGCCAAACCATTTTTCTAGCTCACCACTGCGCGTGGACATGCCGGACCCAAGTCCAGTCTCGGTGCACTAACGTGCCCAATGCTCTTCCACGCGACACAGGCGACAGGGTAGTCAGCGTAAGGGCCCAGCAGGTTGACACATGTCGGTCACTTGCACGAGCAAACAGTTTTTTTTTTCTTTTCTTTTTTGTGATCCAATGACTGGAAATAATGGGTCGTTGGTTGATCCTATAGTCCATATTCAAATTCTTTTTTTTTTTAAATCTAATTTACAAGTATATTAAATCCAATGACTGTGATCGAATATAGACAAATTTAACAATAAAAAAATATCTAAAATATTTTCATCGGGTATGTTTAGTAATTTCTCATTATTTATCAGAATTTAAATATTTTTAGGTTAAAGTGTTTAAATAAACTTGGGCAATCTACATACATTTGATTTTTTAAAATTTTACCGAAAAGAAAAATTAGTTTAAATTTATTCTTTAATAATCTCGAACTAAATTTAAGCCAAAACCATTGGAGGAGGAAAACTGTTTTTTAGTTAAAACCTAAATTTTAACCCCAACTGTTGGAGTTGTTCTCAGGGTTAGGGCTAGAATTTTCCTAGGATTAGTGTTTTCATGCATGTTTAAGTTCAGACATTTGAATCATTTATTAAAATTGGAGATCAAATTTTTTAAATCAAATCGACAAACTAAATGATGTGGTTGTTGATAATTGCATTGTTACTTAAGCGTAGATTAACATGCTTATTTTCTATTGGTGATATAGCATTTAATTTGTAAAATTTGTTTAAAATTGTAGTCTTCCCGTTATTCTTTCTTAAATGGCAAGGGAAAAAAAGTGCAAAACCCTAGTGCCTTTTTCGCGATCTTCAAAACCCTACTGCTCTTTGGCAAATCCTGGCACTGTAAAAGTCAGCAAGCGGCAAAAAACATGGTTTCGCTGCCACAGAACTTTACTACTACAAACAAACAGTACCTGCTGCATCCATTTGAAAGCACCTTTTTTTATTTGAACAGAACTTTACTACTACAAACACACAAACCTTATAATAATTCGTGCCTTTTTCATTTTCCCGATCAACAAAGTTCATATCAATTTTTTTAATTATAAAAATTTTCATACACTATCTTCTTTTCATGTATCCCTGTTTATTTCTCGCATTCAATTTAAATAAAGTAAATGAAAATAAAAAACAAAAATAACTAAGAATGATAGAAAGAGAAAATAAGTGTGTAGAAATCATATTTTTTTTAATATTGAAGAATAAAAATGCATGGAATTTGACATTGGTACAACAATTGGCACACAACTGAAAATAATCTTGAAACCAAATGAATGAAATCATGCCATTTATGCATGCTGTTCTAAAAATCTCCACCTAAGCCCCACTTAGGCGTTAGTTGGTTGGCCACCTTTTCGAGTAATCCCCTAAGCGTTTGAAAATTAAGAAAGGGTGTTTAAACCCCATTCAACGTTCATCTAGTTTGCCTAGGTGTCTACTTAGCCCGCCTAAACATGCCTAGGCACTCGCCTAAGTCGCAACTCTCATTTAGACAGAAAATCGTTAACTTTCATTTTAGATTTTGTTTTTGTTAAATAAATTGTAAGAGACTTGTTGAATACTTAAATGAACACTCATTATTTGCTTGTTCCCCATATTTCCAATATGTTATAACACTTTAATCTATATGTCATTTTATTTTGTGTACCCTAATACAATTATGCATTTTTGTAAGTATAAATAGACATTTATCTATACAAATATATAATAAATGTACTTAAATCTACCTAGTAGTATAGGCCCCACCTAGCCAATAAGCGCTAGGCTCTAGCCCACCGCCCAACTAGCGCTTAACATGACACACCCCGACCGAGGTCAAGGCATGTTGGCCGTCACGTGAGAGTGACGTAACCATGTGCACAGTGCGAAAGCAATAAAGATAACAAATATACGAATAATTAACAAACCACATTACTAGAGTGCACTACTAAACAGAAAGTGATAGGAGTTAGTTACAATAGTAAACACTCCTAATCATAGCATAAAGTCTAGGTGCAGTCCAGTAGGACAAGTACTAGTTATACAGTACCAGGAATGTCCTACTATTATTTAGATAAGTCAGAACAGCCGACGGTCTCGAGCCACCAACAACAAGCTTACTTAGAACCTGGAGGGGCACAAAACAGAAAACGTGAGTGGGCAAAACAAAAGTTTTACAAAATCATTTCATTTATCAATATACTAACCTCTCGCTGTAAAACATGTATAATATTTTCCCAGAATCAGAATATAAGCATATACATAATTGAATATGAAAATATATCAATTCAAATCATACTTCACATAATCATAAGCATATATATGCCATGCCAAGATATGACAGAGTAAGCAATGCAAGTGAGAATAAGTTCATAGAAATATGATATGTTAGCCGGAACTCCTGTGATAGTTTGTACGGCTGAATTCATAGCTCAAACTCAATCTAGCCGGAGTCATTACTATGACCTATACGACAATATACTGCACATAAGTCGGAACCACTGAAAAGGGTATGTACGACAAAATTGGGTGAAAAATAATTATGCTCAATTCTATTTTCTCATAATAGCCGGGCGATAAATCGCTAGTCACCTACGAGTCGGAACCATGAATAAGGTATATACAACAAGACTGTGCACTTAAGTTGGATCCAATTTGAGCATATAGTGCGAGAGGTGACGTAATTAAACAGGCATGTACTTCGTAACTCTGGCTAAATCACAATCACCCTAGGTGCAGTTTTTGAGCTCAACATTATTCAATCACATATTACATCATCGATGATTCACATAATCAAACATAACTTACCTGGACTTACCTGTGCCTCCACAACACCACATTTATATATATATATATATATGCAATCATGAAATGCATATTCAGAATATAAAAGCATTTGACATATTATTTCAAAGCATACTTACCTAAAAATGCATTTCTGGGAAATATATCAAGTATATAAGTA